AATCTAAATCCCCGCGGGCTTATTCTACGTCGCCATTTACGTTGTTTAAGTACGATATCGGGACAGTCCAAAAAATCGTCGCAAGGGGACCCCGAAAAAATCCACGTACACAAGTCTACAGCCTCCAAAAAAGCGGAAGCGATGACAGACAGAGAGACGCGATTTCCAATTGCCACCGACAGGCATGATCGATATTCCCTCGTGACGACGCTGGTCCGTCCGATTTTTATAACGTAAATAATAATATTAATAATCGTAAGGATAATAAAGGGATAATACTATTATAATAAAATGGCTTGATGAGAAAGCCGTTTGTTCACGTAACGAGTCGTATTTTCTGACGTCATTCCGAGATGCAACGGCAGCGGTCAAAGAGGATGATGGGCAAGGGATGTTATAATTACGCGAAAAAATGTCATGGACTAAAACTAACTATAACGATCTTGGTTTCGTACATCTATCTTGTAAAGATTAATTTCGTAAATTCTATCTATCTCTCTTTCTCTCTTACATTTTCTGACGTTTCCGTTACGCAGACACTCTGAGCTATCCATTCATGCACGCTCTTTCTCTCAATATCTCGCTCGCTTTCTGCTTTTCTTTCGGTATCATTTGCATTCTCACTCATAAGTACAAACACTCATGTTCGTATAAAAATAATAATAAGATTTTATAATAATATATAATAATATAATATATATAATTATAATAATATATATGTATCTTACGCGTTTAATTGAATAGAATCCATAAAATTAATAATATCCATCTATATGCTATTTGCAATAAATGTAACAAAAAATAGTACTCAATAATAATAAGGCGTTTTACAAGCGTATTTTGATCCTTGCTTTGATATCGGAATGTATCGACGTACATAATATGATTAACATCAAACGAGCAAAATGTCATGATCGTGATTGTCCTACTCTAATCTAACGGCTCTAATATAATTGGCAACAGATACGTGTATATGTGTCTTATTTCTGTATATGTACGTTTATGCGAATGAATGGGTATTCATATTGTCTCATCACGCATGTAGACATATATGCGCGCCATCAAATGCGCGACATAAATTGGCAAGCGGCTCCGCTTTCACCGGTGGCACATTAAAGTTACTCCAAATTTAACCTTACGAACTACATAACCACGGATTATTGGTACCGGTTTCGGTGATATCATGGACCTCATGACAATTCGAGTAAAACGTAATCATCTTCATAATTGGCACGAGTTCTTATCTCGCACAAATCATCACGAATCAATATCTCGAGTGAGAGAACTTAAGACACACTCGTGAAAATAATACGGAATTTTGCGTCGCAATATCTCTTGTAGAGAAAGAATAAATACACTTTCATTACATATTTCGAGCGGTCGCAATCGATTAAGCATACTTAGAACTCGATCGGTTCAACCCTTAGTGAGATCCAATAATCTCGATCTGACGCAACTCGCCGGTTCATGTAAAGGAGGCATAGCAGTATCGCTGTGTCTTAGCCTTACACTATCATTGTCTCCAGATAAAAATAATATAACAATCTCAGTAAACAAACTGTCCGCAGTATGCTGATTGACAACAAATAAAAAATTACTAACCAATTAACATGTCCGTATTAAGTTCATACTCTATAAACACATAATATTCTTAGAATGTTATATGAATATTATTTACCCTTTTTAATATTTGTTGAAGAATATTGTAAGAATATTGTGTTGTAGGGTATATCATCGGTAGTAGTTGCTGATATGATTTGACAGTAGATAGGGAGAAATCAATGAGAAACCAAATTAATATTTTATTTTTGTTGCTAATCTACGTTAACCTGTTCAGCAAGTACGTTAAAGTGTGCTTGATTTTTGCCATTAATTTATCATCATATTTTGTTGATACAAATTTTAATATTTTATACCAACAACAAAAAATATATATATATAGAGTAGAGCTATTCCCCCCCGTCAGTTTCAACTTTAAAGTAATACGAAAATTTACGATAACAAATAATATTTCTTTACAGTGACGTGCTAATTACATTATACAATCATAATTACTCCTTGAGATCAATTATACAAGTATAAATTTAAATAATCAACATGTGCAGTTCAGAAATATAAACATTATTGCGAGAAATAGCCCCGATCTACCCTATATGTGCCAGATCCTATTAAATCTGTAGCTTTTCTGCTGATAAAATTCGAAACAAAGATTATTAAAAAGACAGTTTGTCATTCTATGCCTCGGAGATAAAAGAATATAAACACATATAATATTTTTTTTTTTTTTTAAACAACACATTACTTTAGTTCCGAGATATTGAATCGTCATTTTATCCTCCAACGTCTGGATTCAGTTCTTAAATGCTTACGTGCATGTAAAGAGATTACATTACGGATACAGATACAGCATGATTATATTACTCTTATTAGTCTTAAGACTTAGAAAAAGTCGTGGCTTCTCGATGCTATCTCGAGCTTGACGTGGCAGAGTATGCGGCACAGGGAGGTGATCCGGATTTCTTTTTAAACTTTTTTTTTTCATATACACGGTAAGATTTCCGCTTCAAGCCGATGTTTCTTCGCGCGCGATGATTTGTGACAGCGATATTACGAAATCACGCGACGTCTTCATGCACGCGCGTAAATATGTCGATGCTCATAAATATGATAAAAATCTCGTTAGCGACAGCGGGCCAGATGAGAAGAAAGTGTTGATTAGCTTTTTATGGCGTTTTATGTCATTGAGAGGTGAGAGATCAATTTTTTTTGTTTTTATGTTTCGGGTACGTTTGATAACGTCTTGCGCAGAGAGATTCGATATTATTTAAAACGACACAAAAGAGAGCAATATCCTTGACAGTACATTTCGTTGTGTGCTTATCGATATGTGATATATATTAAATTTAATATAAATTTTCTAATTTTAATAAACAGCTCTTATTTTACATTGCGTATCCATTTCCGATTATCGGTGTAACCGAAATCGGACGGGTGTAACGAGGCAGAAAAAGAGCAATCGCTTCTGACATTAACTAATACAAACATTCGAAATTATTCGTTTGAGAAATAACGACAAGTGCGTTACGATCTATACGAATTCGTCGGGTTTTTCGAAAATAATAATTGACATTAAGACGCAATGTGATGCATTTCTTAAACGTGTGGGCAAATTAAGAGTCTAAACGTCAGCGTGCGAATTAAAATACAAATTAACAGAGACAAGTGAGCGTCTCATATGCATCTACAATATACGTATGCTTATCATATAATCCAGGATTCCTAAATCAATTTTGATTGATTTACATGGCGTTCGCGTTTTCAACGTGACGCTTCGGTATTCTAAACTTAACCACCGTCAATATAGAATGTTCATGGGATGCAAAACAAAGTAATAACGTACGCTTTTCGTACCCACGTATTCTTGCACATTCGACTTGCTCCAGTCGAGTCGAAGCCCATACACTCTGTGAGCGATAAAAATTTATTTCACCCTTTCACATCTGATGTTCTTTAATAGGAAAAAAGGTCTAGTTTAGTCATTTTTTTAGTTCAGTGACTTTTGTTGAAGTTGCTAAACGCAATAAAGATATAATAATGTAACAGTCTAAAATGGCGGATTTAATAACAAACGTAAACGTAAAAGATAAAATATATTCAAATTTAATAAAAATTTGTACTGACTGTACAAATTTGTACAAAAAATATTTGTATTATCATTTTCATGGCCCGCGAAATGTAGATTCAGTTTATAAAATAATATAAAGACACAACAAAAATATATATTGATAAGAATAAGGTCCAAAAGTTTTCGGTCTACTCTATCTATATATATATATCGTTATAATCAATAGCACCATCTACCTCATCATTATCTACCTTTATCATTGAAAATTGAAGAAATTTTAACTTAAAATGTCCCAATGTTACAATTCTTACCCAGTAAATAATAATTCATAATTATGTATAAATACTTATAAATATTCATAATATGTACAATAATATGTCCATATAGGTTTATACAACCTTTTTTCTTTTGTGAAATTACTGTTTAGTGTAATAGAAATAGTAATAGTAATGTGAAAAATTAAAAATAATTAAAGGAATAATTTTCGCAGCGTTTGTTTTAGGAAAAAATAAGTTTGAAAAAATATAAAAAAATTGCTCATACACAATTATACATAATTTTATATATAATTATACATAAGGAATTTTTTACATTTTTTTAAATTTAATTTTTTTTGAAACAAATAATCCTTACGAAATGTAACGCTGTATCCCTTTCATAATTAGTCACCGAAAACTTTCAGGTCTTTTTGTGTGTATCACAGAAATGACTTTTCATATTTTTATATAAGTTCAATCGCGAGATTGTCATTCTTCGGTTTTATAAAAAATTAATTAGAGAATCGACAGTTATAAATAAAAGAATATAAACAGCATTCCACGCTCGCGAGCATTATTTGTCCTTGTTTAATATTTGATAAACAACAAGGATTAAATGATTCACGAGCGTTGTGAGCGTTAAATGGAACGCAGTCAAAGTAACTCGTTTCGAAAATCAAAATTTCCGGAGTTCTTATTTCATTTATATTTACATTATAAAATAATTGTAAGAAGTTATATAATAAAATATTCATTATAATATTTTTAAAGTTTAAGCAATCTTGTTTAATGTGAGCTTCATGTTAATAACTTGAGCTTGATATTAATAACTGAATATCTACCAGAGACATGATTTTATTTAAACATTTTAAAACATATATCTCCTACTAGATGTGAAAGGGTTGAAGTGTCATAAAAATATTTATTAGCGCTTATTTTTGGTAAACGTTTTGTTAATAATTATTGTATCGATAATTATTTAAAACATGTGTCTGTTCAAATATAGGCTTCGACTGTGATATTATACTACAGAGTTGAGATTTAATTGCATATTTTCGGCTTATTTCGTTGTCGACGTCTTCACATTAAGTATCCATTAACTCATTATTTAAATACGAGCGGCAAGAGGAGAACAGTAAGGACCATGGCACATAAAAACTTAAACAGAGAGAGTAAAACGTAAACTAACAAATTCAACATGTTAATTTCCTTACTGCTTACATTTTACTGTTTAAATTTTTTTATAGCACTAAAACATCCACATAGAAATCTGCCCGAAATGTGCAATAAAATCTGTGTTACACTACGATTAAAATAACGTGGCATCGATTCTTCTTTGAACTATCACGTTGAAAATTCGGTAAAAATTCGGTGATGTATTCTTCAAAAATGTATTCCCTCTTGATTCTTCTCGATTGTTCTTGCTGGAAAATAATTAACACGTTGCTACTTGGATCTTTCTCGATGGCCATTTTTGGCAGGCACATCATCGAGTAAAAGAATCTTCAACGTGGTGCGAAAAAAATTCGCTATTTATTTAGCAATTGTTATTATTCAACGCAAGATGTTGCTGATCCTTCATTCATCCAAGTGATCAGTTCTCGTCAAGCTTGCGTAGCGTATTTACACGAACGTTTCTTATTCGTCAGGTTCAAGTGTTACTGTTGTCGTGAACATGCACATGTGCATGTGTGGAATTGGCGAGGGGTGAGTGTGGTAGATGTGGAGGTGATGAAGGTAGCTCGATGAGAGTGACGTCATATCCGACGGAAGAATCACTCGGATCGCCAGGGTCGCCCGGCGAGCCCGGATTGTTCGGGTTGCGTTCGCTGCCCGTGTCCGAATTGATCCGCGTGTGGCTCACCTCCAGCAGAAACAGGTCCTCATCGACGTAATATCGGATCATGTCGTCGTCAATTTTCGCTGTAATTCTGCAACAGGATACGGTGAAATTCTCGGTTAAATCTTCTCGGCGCAACTCGCGCAATGAAAGCGGCGAATCTCGTTTCAGAGAACGTGGCATGCAACGCGGTAACTTCGGCCACTACAATATTGTGACACTTGATGAACGAATTGTGTTTCATACAATTTCATTGCGTACGATTAACAAAATCTCTTAATGTCACAATAAGTGTTGAGATTTTGTTAAAAAAATTTTTTTTTAATTTTTGGCAACAATAAGTTTTATAAGAGGAGTTCTCGTATTGCGATGAATATTACTTCTTCTACGGCTACGTTCAGCAGAGAAAACTAATCATTTGACGCTTAGTAATTCTTTAATATGATTGTTGCCTACACTTAGATCCGAACGAAGACCTAAAGGCAGGAACTAATCATATTAAAGAATTAACTAAGAACTAACCGATTAGTTTTCTTTGCTGAACGTAGCCCCTATTTAATATATTTTTATAATAATAATTTTCATAACAATTTTTTTCGTTTAATATAATTTTGCAATATTAAAATGAAATTATTGCATATAGTTCACGATTTATGGCATCGTTATCGAATCATCACAGTATCATAACGGCAAAATGTCTATGCTGTCTTGCGATAGATCTTCTGCAAGATCACGTGATGAAAAAAGTGGAGTTCACACCGCGTAGCTTGAGAGAAAGAAAGAGAGAGAGCGTAAGATAGGATTTACTTGAATGACGTGAGATGTACATGTCGAATAACGAAGAATATCTGTTTGAGGGAACAAGTTCCTGCAGGAATACGCAGCGCGTAACCAATGTACGTTGGAAGAAGTATCGGCAGAATAAAATAATCAGTTGAACGAGACGCATGACGACATTAGGCGAGGCAGGTAAGGCGTGCATGAGTGCGCTTGTGACGGAAGGCAGAAGACGAGAAGCGTGAAGGATTAGTGGATTAATCAGGCGTGATTGTGCGTAGCGGTAGCGAGAGGTAGTCAGCGTGCAACTACGTTCGCGTTAAGGTGATCGACAAAGAGAGGACATTCTTAACGAGAGAGTACACGAGAATGGCGTATACATTTAAATACATATGTCGCAGAGAAACGTGTATCCGACATTTGAAAGAGGCACGATCATAGGCGAGAGGGAGAGCGAAAGAGAGCGAGCGAGCGAGCGAGCGAGAGAGAGAGAGAGAGAGAGAGAGAGATAGAGAGTGAGATAGAGAAATTAGAGAAAGAAAAAGACTACCAAACCAGGCGGAGAGAGTCAGGCAATGTCACCGTTATGGCATGCATCGCGTAGGCGTGCATGCAAGTAAAGATGACACTCTACTAAACTTACCCCTTTGTGTTTTTGCGATAGAGGTTATTAATACTCGAGGATGCAATTTTGTACTTTGACTCAATCTGCAAAATAGAAAAAAGTAGAACATTAGAATTTCGATAGTGGCTTGCGGACCGTTGTTTCGTTTCGCGCACGCACTCGAGAAAGTGGTCGCGAGACGCGCGTAGGTAGACGCAATATTACCGCGAGAATGACAGCAAGAGAGAAAGACAGAAGGATAGAGCGAGATAAAAGTAGACAAGACAGATCGAAACGGGAAGACATAATGATGAAGAGATATATATATATATATC